AAATCGGATGAAATTAGGGTAAGGGTGTCCTCCCTAGCAGTGCCCTCGGCTGCCTCCGCAGTTTCCGGCGATTCCGCTGTGACCGGGCACGCATGTAAGTCTAGTATGGAAAAAACTTGAATTCAGCGAGTTTAAAGTTAGTACAGTTGTTCGGCGATCAGAGTGAATACACAACTCTCTGAAGGAGGCTGCACTACATTGATGGCAGGCACCTCCGCTTGAAAAACGCTATAATGGTCTGGTAGTCTGAAACTAGAGTAGTATAAAAAGTCTGTTAGTCCCTCTAAACTTTCTCTGATTCTAAACATAGTTTGGCTCATGTTCTTATAAATAACCGACAGGAAAATAAAATTATTATACCCAGTGCAACATGTCGCACTGGCTTAAAATACAAAAAAATTATGCAAAAAACGGCAACAACACCAACAACGAAAGCAAGTTGTAATCAAAATGAAGAAATTCATGCAAAAATTTTTTTCAAATGCTAAAATAAATTTTGAGTCCAAGTCAAAGTCATAGAAACACTCATAGCAACTGTAGTTGACTGCCGCATCAGGCTAAAGGCAGTGCAAAAAAAAGCGCAAAAATAACAACGAAAACGGTTTCACAGCAAAGCGCTGGTGCTCAAGCAGCGTTAGGGAGCCAACAAGCAGTCAGGCAGCCAAGCAGCCAGTGAACTAGCCGAGTTGAAAAAGGGAAATGGGCGAAATTAAGAATGCCGCAAGCGAGTTGTGGCAAACTTTTTCACAGAGGACATACGAAGCATAGTTAAATTGGTTGGTGGTGCGCCGACACAACTAACGCTGGGGACGCCACAGTTATGCCAGCACCAGCAGCAGCTTTAACTCATGCCCGCCCGCCAGTTGCCGCATACTTTTGACAACCGCCATCCTTGGTGCCACCTATTTGTTGCACTTCACCCAAATCCATTACGCTTAACGTTGGTGAAAGATATTTTACATATGCGTATATGTATATAGACATTTTATTAGATTTATATAGCTATGCGTGTGTGTATGTATGTATTTATATGGTATGTATTTACGATATTGCTGTCAAGCAAATATTCTGTCGCTCTCAAACATACAGACACAAATGAAATCACATGCATGTAGGTAGGCAAGTATGCTCTTCAATACATGTGTATATGTGCATATACATATATCTTCGTGCTGCATGCTTCGCAAGTTCAAAACTACGCTGGTAATTTAGAAAATCAAATGCAATCGAGTGAGCAGTGGCGGCGGTGGCGGCGGCAAGTCCAGGCGTTGAGCAACTGCCTTTTTGCAGTCAAGCTATTAGCACAGTCAGCGTGTCGGCATGTTTCGTCCACCTCCCTTCACGCCACCGCATCTACGTGCAGTTTGTATGCGGCAGCCAGTCAGCTGTTGACTTCTGAGCGCTAAGACAGGCAACGCGCTGTGAAATGACACTGCCTGTGGCAGTTGCTGCAGTGCGCTAGTCGCCACCGTTAGCTCATATGTGTATGTGTGTGTGTGCGTGTCACACACAAACTGTCAGCGCGCATTTGTTTAAGGCCATTTGATACTTTTGACTACATGATACATATATATGTGGTGCATATATGTGTATCCGTTATGTGCTGTTAAAGGATATGCGTTTCATCTCAGGAATACTTTATTCCAATGCATCGAAAACGTACAAAACCAACAACTAATAGCGAGTGGCATACTTTTTGTTTGCTTCCAAATATGTTTGTATGTGTAAATATAGTGTGTTTACTTTAGATGAGAGCAACAAAAACGAAAGTTCTGGGGAAAGTAATTTTGCCGCTAAGTTGTGTAGAAAACGTTAAGTTAGGCACATCAGAGCAGAAATTTAATAAATGCTGGGCATAAATGCATTTTGGACATACGCATACGAGTACATATCTGGTTTCAATCTTGAGGAAGTTTTTGCGAAATATAGAATGCAACCATGTAAATGGTTGGCGAGCAATCATTTGTTGAAACCGTACACGTGTACAAGTTAAGAGAGTATGCTATAGTCCACACTCTCTTAAGTGTTATAAATATACATTATTAGAGGATATAGTCTCGACACAGTTACAAAATTTTCTTGAGCGAAAGCACTGGTGGAAATAAGTGAACTAACTATATAAACGCTCATTATAGATTGCAATAGGCGCATTCCTGACAGAATTGCTTCAAATAGTCTAGTAAATATTTATATCACATCCTACACAATTCAAAAGTTCCAGGACTTTTTAAACAACGCGGCTTCTAGTGGCGCCATCTGTCTGAAATTGTTATCCCCCAATTGTGTATTCTTCAGTGTTGTCGTATAAAATTTATATAACAGCTGACTTGTATAACAGCTGAGATATCGCGCCACATGTGACATTACATTTGTAGTGTCGGTCGTTTAAACTTGGTAAAACTTTTACCAAAACTCATCAAATAATGAAACAAGTTTATGGCGATCCTGTAGCCGTATTCACGAGTGGTTTAAACGTTTTCAAGAGGGACGGGAGGATTTGGAATACGACGAACGATCGGGCCGGCCAAAAGATGTTGTGAACGAAAAAAACACGGAAATTGTGCGTGAATTCATTAAAAAAGAGCCGAAATCATCGCTTAAATATATGAAATCGGAATTATCAATATCCGCAGCGTCGATTTATCGTATTTTGACAAAAAATTTGGGCCTCAGAAAGGTTTGTGCTCGATTTGTCCCGCACACTTTAAAACAACACGAAAAATACCTCAGAATCAGACAGATTTTTTGACCAAAAATCGCATTCATATCATCAACCATTCACCCTATTCACCTGATATGGCACCCTGCGATTTTTATTTGTTCGGAAAACTACATTTGGCCGGGAAAGGAAACCGCTGACGTTGATGCCATCCAAAAGGCGACGACCACCATCCTCAACGCTATACCGACAAATGACTTAAAAAAGTCATTCAATAACCTTCTTGAACGTGCAAAACGTTGTATTCAGGCGGAAGGAGACTATTTTGAAGGCGACCAATAAATTTTTCAAAAAAAAAAAAAACAAATAATATTCCTTTTTTAATAAAAGTCCTGAAACTTTTGAGTTGCACCTTTTATATGAAGAAATTGGCACAAGCGAGATTTATCAAGTATAGTTCAGTCCGGACCTCTTAATGCGACCACGTTTCTTGTTCTTTTCTAACCCCTCGCAACAATTTTTAAATTTTTCCATCATTTCCTTTTCTAGATTCATATAGCAGCAAAACTGGTAGTAGCCGACAACTTGGTCGGCCCGTTCGCTTTTGTGACTTAATTAGAACGTATCTACACTTACAATATTATGTAGCGGCATTATTTCTTTTTCTTTTTTTTATGGCTTTCTGAGTTTGGCTGACATCTTCTACGTTATCAGCAGTTATCGCCCAAGTTATTTTGCTAAGTATTTTAACTCTTATGATACGTGTTACTTCCTAGTTGACAGCTGACAGCAGTCATCTGGAAGCCTACAGCCATTATCAACTGCCGTGGGACATAGCTGTCAGATGCTGTGGTGGGATGACTGTCAGATGACTAAACAAAAACTTTTCAGTGTTAAAGCGTGACGTAGTAATCATCTATGCTGGTGCCCATTCGCTTCGCAATTAGTCATTCTTACTGATCTTCAATCTGTTGTTACATATCAGTTTATATAGAAAGTTGGAGTTCTGATTTAGCAGCATTGTATCGATTCTAGGCAACAAACTTGATGGTTATATTATTGTATGTTTATCTTTTGATATATTATATATCGGAACCAACCAGTATATTGAACAGGGATAATGGGATGCCCAACTCTTTCCAGTGTGAGAGCGCCTCAAAATTAGCGTTTTTTATAACATTTTCCATTGTAGCCAGATGGTACAAAACAATAATTTTTGGGAATTTAAATTAAAATACCCATCATTTATTAAGATTAAATATTATTATACATGTATCCGTTAAACATATGCAGAAACTTTTTATACTCTTTTTTTTGTGATTTTGTGATTTATTAAGCAATTGATCTTTGAACTTTCAATACGTAATCAAAAGAATAAATGTCAATTGCTAAACGTCAGACCTACTGAACTTTGACAGTTGCTTGAGTTCAGTAGGTTTTGACGTTTATCAATTGCGCTCTCATTTCCAGTGAGAGACGAGTTGGGCATCTCCTTATCTCTGATATTGAAAGTGGTTGAACTAAACTTGGTATATTTTATTATTGATAGATATTTCCATAAAATATAAATTAATAATATGTCTTATAGTGTATAGAGAGGCTTATGGACTTTCTGCTATTAATTACTTTTATGCACGAAATAATTTTCGGCAATGTTACGGGTCAGATAGTCGTTGGCCAGGTAAAAATTCGGAGCCGTTTTGTTCACGTTGAACCAAATATCGTGATTTAGTTAGTGTGTCGTCTGTTAGATTTTGCCATTTTTGTAAAGGTAGGAGCTAGCTTTTGAGTTTCTGTTTCTGTCACAGTAAGCTTGCTGACTAAAGTAGCTTTACGTCGAAGTTCTGAGTCTACCTCGGCATTACCTGGTTGTTGGTATGTTTACGGACATACTGGAAGATCTCAGAAAATTAATTTTCCGTCTGTTACCGACATTATTAGCAGAAAACAAAACAGCGAGCCTTCGCTTTCAAGAGAATTATAATTATATCTTACTCCTGAAAGATGAATCACTCAGTGATGCTTTTTTATTATTTTTATTTTATGGGGTATTTCATTTCAAAGCAACTTTTATGGTTTTTATTATTGTTATTTTTTTATTTCTCCTTACAGTATTCCTTATAACTTAAACGCGCTGGAAATAATATCTTACAAGAAAACGCTATCAATACATATAAGAAGGGAATTAAATGTACGAGTTGTTAGCTACTGCATTTAGAAAGATAATTCCCTTTTTTCACATTTTAATATTGCCATTTCATTTTATATTATGTGCTTGTCGCTACTTGACTCTTAAGTTGTGTCTCCTCGACTACGTACTTACGCTTTTATTTATTTACAGATAAAATGGCAGTTTGGAGAGCTGTGCAAAAATAAGGAAGGAAACAAAAACGGAGCAAAAAAATAAAGTAGAAAGGAAATGCATTGAGATAAGAGAAGCAACAACGCTCCACCGTAGCAATAAAATAGCGAGTCACTTTAGACCACCAACAACACAAAACGCACAACGAGAAGACAAAGCGCTCGAAGTTCTTAAGCTGAGCAGTCAGGCCAAGCAGCAGTCAGTGCGCCGCCAAACAGCAGCCAAGCCAGCCAGCCAGTCGGTTGGTGTGTCAGTTGGCGAGCGAAAGTCATCAGTCAGCCAGCCGGAAGAGTCAGTCAGTCGTCAAAAAATAATAGTCAGCCGACACGTCAAAGGCAATTCAAAAGATATTGCATGTGAAGAATATCTCCAGCTGACTGCGTTAACTGACGTTACACCGACAAGTGTTGTGAATAGCGAGCGTGTGAGCTTGCAGCACCTTTCGCTCAGTCCGAAAATTCCAACATACAAGGCAATGAACTTGCTGAAGCAGCTACTTGACGGTTGTTACGTGTTGTGTGGCTTCAGTTTCTTGATTTTCCTATATTTACCGCTCATGCTGGCGATGCCGGAACAAACACGTCTGGCGAATGATTTCGATTATCGGTTGCAGCGTGCGAAACATGTGTTGCGCGAGTCGCCACTCATTGATGGGTATGTTGCACTTAATACTACTAATGTTATCGATTCTTATGTGGCATAAGAGTGTAGATTTGCTCTTCATATAATTACGTAAATTTACATACCAATTTTAATATATTTACAAATATGTATGTACATGTTTACACACTGTTGTTTGTCCAGAGAAATATTTATTTTATTGCACATGTGAATAAGACAATTTGTTGCAAACAGCGGGTAGTAGGTAGGTTAATGAATGTACGAGGGTATGTTTTAATATTTTAGGAATGGTATGTCATTGAAAAATATATCAAATATAAAGTTGACGTAGTAAATTACTCAGAAGAATAATGTGAAATAATGAGAAAAAAATTAGTTGAGTAAAGTAAAGAGATCGTGTACCGCTTCCTATCAAGCAAGTCAGTTTAAATTTGCCTTTGCTGAATAAAGTTCGAGTCTACAACGGTAATGGAACTGGCACTGACCTCGAAAAACCACTGGTGTTTAGTTGGTTCATTAAAAGCAATTTTAGATCTTTTGTCTCGTGAATATGCTATATGTTCAGTACTGTTAAGTTTCCATAAATTCTTCTGTTAATTTAATGTTGGTCTTCGCATGGATATTTTTCAAGCACGGTTCTTAATATGCCTTTGAACACCCGAGAAAGCAAGATGACCTCATTTAAAGACAATCAAATATCCAACTCAGCGAAAAGACGTAGCTGTTTCTAAAAATAGAATTATTTGTATTTAAAGTTGGTGCAATCAAAGAGAGAGAACACTCAAGGAAAGCTATTATATATTATATTTGAATATGCTGTTGCTGAGGAAACTGTTAGTGTCTGATCTTGGTAGGGGCGTTGCGGACATGAGAGACTTTAAAAATTATTATTTTATATAATATATATTTTTATTTTACTCTTTTATGAAGACAAACCAGTCGAGAGATCTATTAGGCGTGAATCCAATTGTTTCTTTTAATATTCACTCCTTAGCCACTGACTTTAAGACGCTCCCTCGTACATATATTTATCAATGCGTGATAAACAACCGCAGGCACAGGCGTATGTATATCTTTCACAAAATTTACTTATCTGTAATTAATGTTCACATGTCAACCGAGCTAAAAACAGTGATGGAATAGATTTTTCACTCAACCCCAACCCCCAAAACCCCAAACTAACCGGGGCGCATCTTTCATTTGCCGGCGCGCTCCAACTGTAACTTAAACACTACGCCAATCCTATGCTATCGCTATACAAGTATATGAAAGTGTAAGCATGTGTGCGTGTGCGGCTCTCCTTTGCAGTCGCTTAGCTGCCAGGCATTTGCTTGCTTCCACGCCAGAAATAGATTACGAGTTATTAGTAAAATGTGTGTACTCTAGTATTTTCGTTTGGAGTTTTTGTTGTTTTTACAAGCTCATACACACACACCTATACACAAAGTACATGTATGTTGTTGTGCTTAAGTGTTTTTGTTAAATAAATGGCGTTCGGAGTCGTAAATTGATGCACCAGCTGCGGTTGGAACAGCTTTTGGGTATGTTAAACTAACGGCAAAAATTGCAAACATACAATGCACATATGTACATATATATAATAAAATAATAAAGAACTTGCACACACATGCATAAGTACAAAATGGCGATACGCTGTTCGATAAGTGTTGGAAGGAATATTTTTTTTCCTTTTGCCATTAATTAGTTTTAAGGAGATTCATTGCGAAAAGCATTGTGTAAATATTCGCATTAAATATCACGATTTTTTATTTTACGCAAAACTGATTTTTTGGCTGATCACGTACATTTTGTGGGTCGTAGCAATCACTTAAGAGAGTTCGATATTTTTTTGTTGCTACCGTCGCGAATCGGAATGAATTCTCATAAACTTTTCAGAATAAGCTAGTTGACACTTTATTACATAAATTGACTTCAACTCGGAATGAAAAGTGAAGCTGAGCCCCTGCTGATGTGATCTGCACTGTCCGATTCGGTGGTTCGTGAGCTCGACTCAGGGTAAAAGCTTGCTATAAAATATGGAGTATCAAAGAATGTTTTGACATCTTTGAATAGCTATCTAGGGAATCTAGATTGTAGAACAGAGACAAGAAAAGCTCTTGATTTTATTAATTACTATTCAAAGTTCCGAAAGCTTTATTAGTTAATTTTTTCTTGGTAAATTAAATCGGTTCTCTTAACACCTAAAACGTCCTAAACGAGCAAGGATCTTCGAATATCAAATCAGATTGATAAACGGTTGTCTTCGTGACCATAGCAGCCTATGATTTTCAAATTAGCAAGGTCTGTATACATGCATTTAAAACTGGCGCAGTTGTTATCTTGGAAATGGCTTTCACTTAATAGAGAAGCAGATGAAAATTTGGGCTTAGAAAGATTTTCATCAAAAAGATACAAAATAGTTTTAGGGCGTTAATTTTTCTTGTCCAGCTGGAGTGGGTTTTTAAAGTAAAAAGTAATAAACTAATAATAGCCATCTTTCACGATTATATGTTTTATTCTGGGACAGTCAACTTGGTAGACAGTATACTTCTTCGGTGTTATAATTCACTATAAGAAAATAAGAGAACGTAACGTTTAGTGCATTTAAAAAACAAGAAAAAACGTTAACTTCGTATGCACCGCAGCTATAAGATGTTACCCTTCACAAATACAAAAGATTCTCTACAAGAACTTGTTTTCGATCGATCAGTTTGTATGGCAGCTATATGCTATAGTGATTCCAAACCTTTAGTTTACATGGTAGCTATACGCTATAGTGGTCCGATATCGGCCGTTCCGACAAATGAGCTGCTTCAACAACTAAGGAACCTTTTCGCATATATACAGATGGACAGACGGACGAACATGGCTCGACTCAGCTCGTCATGCTGATTATTTATATATAAATTTTATGGGGTCTCCAACTTTTCCTTTTGGGTGTTACAAACATCATGACAAACTTAATATACCCTTTTCAGGGTATAATAATTACAAACATACACTATTAAATTTGCTTGCATTTTTATTCAGAATCAAACAAGTAATACGAGTGGTTATTGGCTTTGTTATAAATGTTTTCTCTCTCTTTTTTTTGAATTTGGTGCAGATTCGTACATATATGCATATGATTGATTGTTATGTTGCGTTGTAGGTATGTTGTTACAAATTGTTCCATAATTACTCTGCGAATTTATGTCCTACGAATGAATATTTTTTATTCAAATTCCTTTGAAATTTTATTAAAGCGTTTCAAGTGCTGTTGTTGTTTTAAGTCATGTTCTACTAATTGTATTGTAGTTATTATCTCAATTGACTTTTCCATATAAATATAATACAAAATATATTTCCATGTTAATTGCTACCATTGCAATTCTTGTGAAACGTTGGGTTGGTCGTTCTCTATACGTTTATTGATGTACTCGTAGTCCGGAGAATCTTTGAACATATTATTAATCTGTGCACCGAGTTCGCGGAAACTGTGCCTTAGTGCTGCGATCTGCTGAAAGAGTGGCATATATTCTTTATAGTATCGATCAAACGCATTTTTATATTGCCAACGCTGTTCGAAGTTTGTGATTTCCGTATAATCGCTAAAGTCATAACTAGGTGGTTCGATGGTATTTATAATCGTTTTGGCTTTCACTGGTTTCCGGGGTAAGTTCAACTGAGCTGTATGGTGCTCTTAAACTATGTTGCTTGCGCTTTTTCAGCTGCTGCAACTCCTCTTCATTGTAGTAAGGCCAATTCTCATCGACTTCTCTCCAGATATTAAGGCGCAAATTATATACGTTTTGACCTAAATGCGCTACGTTCTTAAGTACATTCATTATTATTGTGCGTTCAAAAGTACGAAATCCTTCCCTTTGCAAGATTGAGTCCATTTCCTTTCTGGTGTATGAATTCAAAGCCAATAGGTGTACCAGTCGTTCGCGTAATTTACGTAATGATATATCCGATATTTTACCGCCTTCGATTTCACTCTTCACGACGGGCTTTACTCCAGTTTGTGGCTTTTCTTTTAGGAATAACTCAGTTCCATTGGCGCGAGAGTTGTTAGATTTACTCAAAGTCCAATTCGCGCTGATTGGATATATTTTCCTCGTTGGTATTCTACCGATGTAATTTTGCTTGATGTGATTAGCGTTGCTTTGAGATGCCATGGCTTTTGTTTTTATTGCTATTGGTCTAAAATATTACGTGTTGCTCGAATGTATTTCTTTGTGGTTTTGATATATTTGCACCATAAGATGTGCTTATATAAGTAGCAGGTAGTGATGTTTGCGAGGCAGTGTACCTTGTGCGCCTTTGGTAAACAAATTGGGTCGTGATATTTTCTTCTCGGGGTTTTTACCTATTCCCGGGTAAGTTTCTGATACTGTATATGAGGTTTCGAGAATTAAAATTCCAGGTAAAAGAAAAAGCGCATTTGTAGAAAATGGTTGTTTCGAATAATTTTGACCTCTCAACAAAACGGAACTTTGACAAATAAGAAGTAGTATAAATACTACGCAAACGTTTGGCGGTGGTTTAAAAGTTGTAAAACCCTCTCGTTTTATCTGATTGCAAGACTTCGACTTTGTTTTATCATTAAAATATTTTTCCAAGGAAGTTATACTAAATCTCCAATATTATTTAGCAGTTATAGAATATTTTCTAAAATATTTATCTGCAAATAATTAAACAACAAAAGGATGTTAACTACAACCTTTTATTTTTGCATCACGCCAACCAAAGGAACAAATGTGTGTACCTAAGGGTATCTGTTTCGTTTCACGCTTATCTGCAAAACAAAGGCAAGTAACTTTTGTTAATTGTTGCTCTCCAAAAATCTGACCACACATTCGTGCTGTCCGCTTTGTCTTTGAAATGATGTGAAATCCAAAAAATCATGTCTTTAATTTTTGTTTCTTTTAAAAAATATAGCGGTAATTTTTTGTAGTAACAAGGGTTTGAGCTACTTTAATATTCTTTTATGAAGTACCAGTTTTGTGTATCAGAACTTTCCTTATGAATACAAACAAAAAAAACTGAGGAAACTAAGTATTGTTAATTATTATGTTGTCCCGCTTTTTAGAGTATTAGCTAATAATCACATTTGGAACACATAATTTAATTCCTTTGACATCGTTGAAGATCTAGGTAAATATAGAAAAAAAGACAGCAACTAGTTTCAACATATCCAGAACTCTGAGCGAGTTTATTTAAAAACTTACAATTATATGTCTGAGTTTACTTAACTGGATTACTATCTTTTAATACAAAATTACCAGGAAAATAGAAAGTTTTTACAGCATTGCTTTACGTATCCATTTTATACCATACTTTGCAAGTTTTACTCTTTGTGCTTTTACCTCTCCATATGACGCCCCTTAATTTCCTAAACTTCCTTCGCAGCCCTCCAATAAACCACACAACAGCGAAAACACATTTATATATAAGTACAGACAAATTTTGTTTGCACTGTAGCTTGACCAAACCGCTAAAATAAAAAAGAATAAACAAAAGAGAAATTAAGAGCACTGTTTGTACATAAATCTGTCGAAAGAACCACAAATTTATAGCCGTTATATAAAAATAAAACATTTAAACGCCTAAATTAGCTCATTTTCGCCTTTTATTAGCGTAGAGATAAAGTTTATGGATTTGTAAAAAAGTAACCGAAATGCTATAAAAAGTGATAAAACATTTTAAATGCGATTATTTTCAAAAAATTTACGTACTCTTTGACAAGCGTAAAATGCACGAGTATATCGTACCGCCACTGAAGCATGAGTATCTTCAAATACGAGTGTATCTTCAAGTACATACCACGAGTAGTATCTGCGAAACAATGGGTGCTTCAAGCCAATAAAACCGCCATTAATAGGTCAATGGGCTGTGGAGAGGATTTCTAATGAATGAATATTTTAAAGAAGTTCCGTACGGCACAGTTGTGTTTAGAAAAATCGTAGTGTGCTGTATTAAGAACAATCTTAACAAGTTGCGAGAGTATAAAAATCTAACGTTAACTAGGGAACCCTTGATCAATTATGGTAGTCAGACAAATGAAACCTACGCTCTACGGCTGGTTAATTTTGCTACCCCGTTAACTAAGTCAAGTAAGGTAAGCTTATTCTCTTGGAAAAAATCTATGGCTTCATACAACAAAAAGAACTAAACGCGTTATGGGTTCATACAACCATGTCGCCTATATCCCTTTAGAGCTTTTATATTATATGGAACCAAATTTATAAATCGCACTGACTTCGTAGCTTTACTGCTTTAGCAAAATTGGGTTTTGTCGTTTTAAGAAGATTGATTGATTAAGATTGACACAACTTCATCTAGATTATCCATTTCTTTTCCAATAAATTCAATTCGGTGCTGGGAAAAGCTCATCCTCATTACAAGCTTAGATAAGGATTACTTAATGAGGAATACTACTTAATAGTTAATAAGTTGAACAGATTTTTATACCCTGAACAAGGTACATACATATATTGAAGAGCAAACGCCGGAGACCCAAAGAATATACTATTGGTAAAATTAATCGGCGCGATTTTCGAAGTCTCTCAGTCTATAAGATATCGTTCTGAAATTTTGCTCAAGTCCTTTTCTACCCAAGCAACTGTTCGTTTGTCGGAACCGCAGATATCAGTCCACTGTAAGATAGAGCTGTCATACAAACTGAACAATCAATATCTTGTTTTTGTTTGGAAATCTTTTTTATTTGGCAAAATATCTTCACGAAATTCGATATAGATTATTGTTCAAGGCAAAACGAAAATCTCCGAAAAAATTGTTCAGATCAAAACACAATAAATTGTGGCTGTCATATAAAGTTACCGATAAAAATCAGGATAAAGATCTTTATAGAAGATATATTGCACACTGCTATCTGCTAATTCGATCTTTAGGCTATAACTGCATGCATTCGCTGCTTATTTTCAGCACACAGCTGTTACTATGCATACGCTTTTTTATATCCAAACTCAGCACGCTATCCTGCACATAATGTGCGTTAAACAATTTCTATATATATGTATATGCATAATGGAATATGCTTTTCTAGAGTATTAACCCATTTTGCATATTTTAACGTTGCTCAACGCCATAATGCTCCTCCAACCGACACAACAAAAGCAAACTGAAAAGCATAATTAACGAATGACACAGCCTCAAAAAGGCAATTAAGCATAGCTGTTGTGTATTTAGCATAGCAATGTAGGAATTTTATACAGTTATGTCGATGTATATGTACATGTGAATGTGTGGGTGCATGTGTGTATTTGTTAGCGGCAATATGCTGCTGATGAAGGTGTTGTTCGAAGCAGCTTTTAACTCTTAAGCCTTGCATCTTGTGGCGGGAGCACTGTGACAATGTCACAAACGTACAGAAATGGGGGAGACTTAAAGCAACAGGCAGCTCAAACATATACAGAGATTTGCTTATGTATGTGTGTGTGTTTGTGGGTAAATAGGCTAGTAATGGCATACACGTATGTGTATAAATGCCGTAAAATGCTAAAAGCGAAGTTAAAATGTGCTCAGAGGCGCATGATTACATACATATACACAAACACACGCAGTCATATATTGTATATTTGATGTGTGTGTGCATTCAAAGGATTCTGTGTGCAGCAAAGCGCATGCATGCCAAATATTCATGCAAAATGGCACTCAGTGCAAAAAAACCTGCGAGCTGAAAAACTTTTAGCGCCACACCCTGCTCCCTCGCTTCTTCACCGTTTACCTTAAAATAACATTTATTTAGCGTAGCAAAAGCAAAAAAAAAATTAAAAATAAAAACAAAAAAGTTTTGAGAAAAACCAATGCTTTGCGAGCATCTAAAAACTAAAAAATACTACAATAACAAAAAAAAAAGACAAGAAAAAACGTTAAATTCGGTTGCACCGAAGCCATAATACCCTTTACAAATACAAAGCTTCCTTACAAGAACTTGCTTCTGATCTAATTGCGTGAAGATACCTCGTCAAATAATAAAGTTTTCCATGCAAGTATTTTACTCCGTTCGTTTAGTTGATATGCCAGCTATATGTTATAGTGATCTGATCTGAACAATTGTTGCCTTAGACAATAATCCATGCCTAATTTTGTGAAGTACCTCGTCAAATAAAAAAGTTTCTCATACAAGCATTTGATTCCTATTGTTAAGTTTGTATGGCAGCTATATGTTAAAGTGTTCCGATATCGGCCGTTCCCACCAATTAGCAGCTTCAAACCGATAGCTTAAAAACTGAGGCACTAGTTCGCGCATATACAGACAGACGGACGGACATGGCTAAATCAACTCAGCTCGTTATGCTGATCATTTATGCATACATTTTATAGGGTCTCCGACGTTTCCTTCTGGGTGTTACAAACTTCGTGGCAAACTTAATGTACCCTGTTCAGGGTATAAAAATTGTATAAAAAAACGTTTGCAAAAAAACTAAAAGCCGAATGGAATGATGAAGGATGAAAAAGCGATCAATAAACAAATCTCTACAGATGTGCAACTTCACAACTTCTTGCATCAGCTAACGGCAACATTGAGGTTGACAACAACAACAATGGCAACAATGTCCTCACAGCGCACAAACGACCGAACATATATTTATAGCTTTTAGGCTACCAAAGCAAAGTACCTTAGCATAGTTTTAGACATACTTACATAGCTTCATACATACATATATTTATAATAGTTTGAATGATAATGCTCTCTTGGCAGGCAGACAAGGTAAGTGCAGCACACAGTGGTCAAATTGTGACCATATGCATTTTAGGATCTAGAAAAATTATAAAAACAACAATTATTACTATTCAATAATATTAACTTAGGATTTCTAAAAGGCTCATTGGAAGTTTGATTAAACAAAATTTATGTTGAATGGGGAGTTATTTTATTTCCAATACTAAAATTGATTGTGGCCATTTTCTTGATCATCTTTGAATGCTTAAGTGAGATCTTAGAAATCCATCAAGTAAATATATACAAAAGAAAACGTTTGCCAGATTAGGCTTTAATCGAACATTTTTGTTTCCGGAACTCAAACAACTTCATTTTAAAATCTTTGCTACTTTAAAATATCAGCCGGGACCTATAAAAAATATATGGAGAAGTAAAGGCAATTCATTTTTATCATAATTCTCTTGATTGCAAATAAGTCTGAGTCAAGGTTGCCACAAAAGCACTCATGGTATACAGATGCTTGGCCGGAAAATCCTGTTCCCGTAACCCAA